TACAAGAAGTCAAGTCTAATCGTAGAGCGTCTCGCGGTTAGATTAAAAATAAGGAAAAAATCGGGTAACAGACCGTGTCGTTACCTAGGGCTAGTAATTTCATAAGATAGCGAGATTTGATACCAAAGTTGATTAGGCGAGTCAGTCGAGGGTGTAGACGGAACCGTGAATTAGAAATTTCTCTTTATTTATTCTATTTTATTTTTATTTTCTAGTTTAGATTTTATTTGCTTTAGTTAATTTAGTTCTTAAAATCAACCCCCCCCCCCCTTATTGCTTTTATAATTTCAATTAATACAAAAATATCACAATTTGATTCACACTCCCTGTGGGTTCGACCCTTACTCGCCACTACTACTAGTTAGTAGAGGTTAGTCGAGGAAAATATAAATTTGAATTTTGCCGCGTTGCGACGCGCGGTCAAATTTTGGCGCCGTTGCCGGGGAGTGGCGTTATTGAATTGTGATTTTTAAGTACTAATTGAATTATTATTTTTTTAGGATTTTATTTTTATCATCTTTTACCCCTCTATTTTTCTTTGTTTTTATTTTTTCTTGCAGAATACTGGGCGCCCCCATACTGCTGGACAGACCCCCATACTCGCGAGAATAACTTGTCTTTGGCGATTTTGATCGAGTTTGGCGCAATTTTTCGAGATGGCAACCTATTATCACGACTTTTATACCCACCAGACACCTTACCAATATGAGAAGGAGATGCGAGGCCCGTGGATTGGAGATCAAGGCGTAAGAGGATCTAGTGGTTGGCGAAGGAACGAGCAAGACTACTTCTATACCGATGAGTATGGATACCACTTGAGAGAGCACTCGAACTCTTTCTATGGGTACTCCGAGCCACCAATTGCGAGAGATCCCAGCCCGTCTGTGGAGGATATGGTGAATGCATTCGCGGCTAACACGTTGAGATTTCGGCAAGAGTTCTGTGAGCCATTAATTGAAAGAGATCCTGGTCCATCGCTCGAGGATATGATGATGGAGTTGACGGCTCACACCCTTAACTTTCAGCAAAGCGTTGAGGCTAGCATCAAGAGCCAAGAACTTAGCATCAAGAACCAAGAGGAGAGCATCGAGAACCATGGACTGCGCATAAGGAATTTATAAGTTCATATGAGCCAATTGGTGGAACAAATGGACCGACTAGTGTATCGGCTCGAAACAAGTCCAATGAGTTCGAGCGTCACCCATTCGTGCTGTGAGGACCTCGAGGAACCTGAAGAGTGCACATACGAGCTGGAGAACGAAAAAATCACGAATATAGAGAAAGCAGAGTCGAAGCAGCAGAGTCCTGGGGTACCCCGTACTCGACTTGCTGGACCCAGTACTCGACCTGCTGGAGCCAAAAGGCGTACCGTTCTTCCCGCTCTTGTGCCGATAGAAGCTGGACCTTGTCTTATCTCTTCTAATATGAAGTGGGTACTGAGCAAGGATGCACTGAAGCATGTCTTGGGCCTTGATATGCCTTCTCTTGAGACGATCAAACAAAAAGAAAGGTGCAAATGGGAGTTTGATGAGACGGTGACCGTGATTGAGCATGGGTTGCTATACATTCATGAGGAGTCATTTCCATGGAGAAAAGACCCGGTGAAACACCCA